GCAAGAGAGACAAAATGTCAGTGATTTTTTTTTTTTTTTTTTTGAACCGGGATTGAACTCAGGCCCTTGTACTTGCCAGGGAAGCACTTATTCTACTAAGCCATCTCTCCGGCCCCTGTCAGTGATAATTGAGAGGCAATCTGATTATATATTTGCAATTCATAGGCTTCATTTCTTATGAGAAGTTTTACTTTTTAAGAAACTTTTGAGCAGAAAGCACAGAGAATTCCCATATCCTTTTCCCTTGTCTTCGTTCTTTGTGTTGCAAATCTGAAGGGTTTGATACCTTCCACTGTTACAGAGTCTTGCAGAATGGTTTCACTCACCTAAGTCTCCTGTGCTTCATCTGTCCATCTTGCCCCCTCTTCCCACCTTCTTGAGTCCTTTACTTTGTCTGTAGTGTTGCCTTTTCCAAAGTATCATGCAATTGGGATATACAGTGTGTAGTGTCTTAGCCTGGCATTTATCCTTAACAATATACACTTGAGTCTCTTGTGTATCATTTTATCTCTTGATAACTCATTTTTTATTATTCAATAATATTCTATTGCATAGTGGTATCACAGTTTACTTACTTAACAGAAAAATATCTTTGTTGCTTACAAGTTTTGGCAATCATGAGTCAAACTGATGTAAATACTTGTGTGCATATTTTTTTATGGATACCTGTCTCTAACCCATTTGGGCTACCCAAAGGAGTGCTCTACTTTTTGTTTTTTTAAAAATCATTTATGTATGAATTTATTTATTTGGGACATGGTCTCACTTTGGAGCTCAGACTCATAGTGATCCCCCTGACTTAACCTCCCCAGCTCTGGGAATACAGGTGTGCACCACCACGCACACCCAGTTTCCGTGGCTGGCAGGGCACACCCTGGGTTCTGGGGTGGCATGCCATGTAGTACCAGGGATCAAGCCCAGGTGCTTGTGCTTGTCAGGCAGGTGCTTATCTTATCAAGCTATCTCTGCTGCCTCTGTTGTACTTTTTTTTTTTAAACACTTTAGAAAATTTGAATGCTTATGTTTTAGAGCTATAAAACAGTTTAGAGAGAAGTCATAGTCTTTGAGTGCAGTGTTTGATTCTGAAAAATGCTTTTTGAGTCACAGCAAACATTTGGTAATAATTAATTAGTACGCAGTTAAGTTTTGAAATTTATGGACTTGATAATGTAAGTTTATATTTTATATGGAAAGTTATCATATATACAAAGGCCAAAATAACTTTTCAGAGAAGAGTTCCAGGAGTGATAGACAGTTTTTGGTAGTGTTTATATGTGATGTATATATTAATTTCATTTGAGTCCAACCTCATGAGATGAATACCTAATCCCAAAAGAGTAAAACCTTACCAAATCTAGGAAAAACAAAGTAAGATATCTCTCTCCTTTCACAACGCTTTATGGTATTTTTCACTGAATAAGTAATGAATGACTGTTCTTACTGAATTGAGTTCTAGAATTAGCAAAACAAAAAGCCTCTGCCCTTCTAGAGCTTACATTTTAGTGGAGGAAAAACAATAAGTAGGGAATTGGCTATTTCCAGGCATTGATGCAAAGAATAAGACAGATTTGCATACTGGGAAGTCCCTGGTGCCTTTGGGGGTTACCCTGCTGCCCACAGAGCGGTGTGGGAATTAGAAGTCCTGGTCTTCTCTCAGTGAATGATGAAAACAGAGAACAGGCATAGTATTAGCTCTCGTGATCTCAAGGAAGATGTACAGGATGTGTTATATGTATGTCTCTAAAATCTGGGTTTTTTTCAAACCTTGTGACCCCATTATCCAGCCCCTTAATAAAAGCATGCAAAGGCACAGAATCACTTGTGGGGTTTTACATGACAGTGCCGCTCCCCAGAAGATGACTGCACAACCCTCCTAAGATCTTCCCTTTTACAGAGAAGGATGCAAGTCCTAGACTGATGTGGAATTTTGCAGACATTTTGAGATAAGGCAGGCTGCAGATTCCAGGAGATTCTCTTGTGATTGATTCATCAACCACGGAGAAGACATTGCTGTGCATCCTTGGGAAAGGGCTAGCAGAGAAATCACAGTGTTGGTAGAGAGAGAAGCAGACTAGAAGAGCGCAAACATGAAGGCTGGCACACTTGTTCTGGGTCTCCTTCAATTGCAGTATTTGGAGGGAGGGCAGGTGGAGTCTGTCCTCTCTTAGCTCATCATCAAGGCTCCTTTCGGTAATGTCTCCAACCTCCTACCCCAACCTTCACCTGATAGATGCTAAATGCGTTTCTATTCTGGATGTGCCCGAAAGAGCTGAGGTTGCATCACTGCCTACTGAATAAAAACATGGTTTGCAAACAGTGAAAGTATGCAATTCTCAAAGACCTTGTACAATAAAATAGCCTACAACACAAATGCCGGATAGCGAATGTCTGAAAAGAAGTAAAATGATAGGTTTCTATGTTTACATTTTCTTACCATGTATACGCTTTATTCATCTGTAGACAAAACTTACCCTGGTTATGTCATAGTTCTCAAGACACTATATAATTAGTTTAAAGAAAGAGGCCTAGATGGATATCTACTAAATTGGTTTGGGTGGATCTCATTAACATGCTGTCTTTTTGTCAAGCTACCCGGATTCACAGATTTAGTGTGAATTTAGAAAAATACAGTTTTGCCAGGAGGATCACTGTGAGTCCAGTCTACATAGTGAGACCCTGTAGACACTGTACTAAATGCATAAAAAAAGAAAAATACAGTTTTGAGGATGGCATTACCAAGTACATTGCATCAAGATTTCTCTGTGCATTAATATTTATAGTTAGTTGGAAATGTTCCAGGGTTACCTATTTTAAGTACATGTGTGAGTCTCACCAATTACACTGCTGTTTGAAATGGAGACAACAGAGAATTTTTAAGTTTCAATAGGTATTTTCTGTGGAATTTCCATGTAGACAGATTTTATTTGATCTCTTTTACTGATATTAAAAAAATGCCTTCATGCTTAAAAAGTAGTGCCTGACATATAAAAGGTGCTCTATAAATATTTTCTAAATGAAAATTTCCAATAACTGCAAGAATTTCTATAATTTGGTATAAAATATAGACTTGTTAGAGCCAGAGTGGAAATTAAACATCATCCAGTGTAACTCCACAACTCCCTTCATAGATTAGGAAATGGATATCAACAGAAGCCAAATGTTGCCAAAGGTCATGGCTAGTAATGGCAGAACCAGGGCTAGATTTGGGTTTTCTTTTTTCTTTTTCTTTTCTTTCTTTCTTTTTTTTTTTTTTTTTGTGGAACCGGGGATTGAACTCAGGCCCTTGCATTTGACGGCACTATATCTGGGTCTCTGAAAAACGTGTAGTGTCAGGTGGCCAACAGGGTATACAGCTGGAGTTTAAACTCAGATCTGGCTGTTTGTGAAAGTTGTTATCTAGGTAAGTGTTTTAATTTTCATATTTTTGATACTTTTGTGAAGGCTTAATGTGTCATCTTTTTTCTGCCTTTTCCCCTGCTTTCAAACAAAAATCTGTCATATCCTTAACAGATAAGGCTAGCCCATTGTTTTTGTGTATATATCACATTATATTGAATCAGTTTATTATGACTAGGAGCTCCTTAAGGTCATACACCCTTTTCAAGTCCTTTTTGCCTGCACAGAATTTAGCATAATGACTTTTGTGAGAGATGGGATTTACTGGGAATCTGAATTGCTTGGAGCAACTATTAGTGACAAGTAGCATATCCAAGCCTAAGTCTAGGGGCTAAAGACTTGTGTGAGAAGTGAAGTCTCACAGCCTTTCAAATGTAGTTAGTGCTTGATAATTGCTCATATTAAATGATCGTCATTCTTAGCGATGTGATTTAATGATATTAGTCTTTTGATTTAAATAACTTTTTGAGAACAGCTTCGCTTTTTAATTTTTAAGGAATTAATAGTAGTGTTCTCCCATAGATGTTGTGGTCTCAGCATCAAGTCTCCCTTGGTCCTATGCGTTGACCTCACACTGCCATTTCATATTCTCAAAGTCCATGGCTAATGCCAGTTTAAGAATTCTTGGCTGAGTTTGACGCTAGTAATTTTACATCTCTTAGGAAAAATTGAAACCCTAGTATTCTATATTTTTATTTATTATTTATATATTATTTATATTTATTATTTATATATTATTTATATTTATTATTTATATATTATTTATATTTATTATTTATATATTTCTTACTAAGTACTCTAGTTAATTTTACGCACATATGGTAAGATGTGTGAAATTATCAATGATTTTTTAAAGGAATTATCTATTCCTTTGGACTTTAAAATTTTATATAGGGCTGGTATTTATACAATATTTAAAACAGGCAGAAAAACACATTTTAAAAGCTTGTGGCATAACAATGTGAAAGTCTTAAGAGGCCTTGCTTTACCCTGAATTTTATTATTATGTATTTACAGAGTAATATTTCAAACCAGTTTATCTCTTATGGCTAAATCTTCTGAGATATACAGTATCATTTCTTTAGAGAAATAGTCTGATAGTATTTGATTTCTGTTTGTTTACATTAGAAACTGCTATAACATTTTATTTGGATGTAAACCTTTTTTTTTTTTTTTAATGTATTTGGTACAGGGTCTCAACATGCAGCTTGGGCTTCTGGTGATCCTTCCTGTTTTCAGCCTCCCAAGACCTGGGATTATGAGCATGTGTCCCTGGGCTCACTGAATCAGTCACAGAGCACGCGGGGTCTCTGTGACTGACTCAGTGAGCCCAGAGGTGAGGCTGGTGCAGTATGTTGTGCTGGGATCGGACCCTAGTCCCTGAGCTTGCTTAAGCAGGTGCTTAGTCCACTTAGCTGTCTCATGGGGCCTGTTAACCAAAATTTTTTAAAAAGGGATAATAATACATTAAACAGTCATCAATTTGGTTATTTCTTTTTTTTTTTTCCGTTGAAAACCAATAATTTATCAAAAACGCTGTAAGTGTATGCGGGGGAGGGTGTTGTGACAGGGCAGCCGTGGGCAGGCGCACAGGGAGGGGAGGATGGGGGTGGTACCCTGCTGCGGGCCATCTGTGGGGGAAGGCTAGACATTCTTGCCGCGCAGGTGCAGTTCGTGGCGCCGCAGGTGGTTGTACAGCGACTGCACATAGGTGAAGACGCACTTGGGGTCGGGCTTCTTGCCCATGATCATGTCCTCCACCTCCACCAGGGGCACGCAGTCCACCAACATCCGTGGGGCCCCGAGCAGGGGTTAGGACTTTTTGGTTTTTTCCAGCCCCTTCTGAACCAGACAGCGGTAGAATTCCTGGATGTACATGTACACGCACTTCCAGTCAGGCTCTCGAAGCTGCACCATGTCCTCTGTATCCAGGAGTTGCGGGCAGTCCGCATGGGTCTCAGCAGATGAGAAGGCCACTTCAAAGTTCTGGCGCCGGTTCTGTGGGCTAAGCTGCCCATAGTCAAAGGCTTCGGGGAAGAAGTTGTGTACCAGGGCACAGAAAGCCATCCCATCACTCCAGCTGGAGGAGAAGTTCTGGATGTCCACATGCTAGAGGCACCCTCTTTCTCCAGCTTCTCAATCATGGCCTTGCATGCCTGGGATGCTGAGGTCTTGGGCAGACTCTGTGCCTTCATCAGTTCTTTCTTTTTCTCGGCCTGGCGTTTTTCAGGAGCTGCCAGGCTCTCAGCCCTTGGGCTGGCCTGGTCCTCTCGGTCAAAGATGCTGCCCGTTTTCTTAGATGAAGAAGAGGAAGAGGAGAAGGTCTTGGTTTGTACTGTAGTGCTGCCACTGCCATTCTCCGAGCGCCTCACAAAACTTGACTCCACGGTAGTGGTGCGGGCTGTCCGTGTACCATCATTGGACTGGACGAGCCGCTCAGTCTTGGTAATAGTGCTGACAGTGGAGCCATCAGCCGTCCTTTGGCTATGCCTCGTGGTGGTCTCGGTGCATGTGTTGCCTCGCCTCTCCTCAGGCCAGGCTCGGGCCTCCTGCAGTCGTCCTGCAGTCCCGTTCCTTGTCCCTCTGGTCTCTCTTCCTTTGTCTGAGCTCACACAGTGCAGCCCGGATGCGCTTCCACTCCTCAAAGTCTGTACTCTGATCCAGCATCTTGTCCAAGACTCCCTCATCCTCAATGGCCATCAACTCCTCAGTGCTCAGTGGGCTCTGCCCCTGTGGTGCTTTGTCTGCCTGGGTCTGCTCTGCACCATTAGTGGCTTTCAGCGCTGTGGAGGGAGGCTCCGTGGGCTCTGGCTCCATCTTAAGGCTGCAGCCTCCTCGGCTACCAGGGGAGGCATGGCTGAAGGTGGTGACGCGAGTGACACTGCCCATCCGGGTGAGGGTCCCAGGGCTGCTGGCATGGGTGATGGTGTTCTTGTTCCCACTGCTGGTGCTGAGGAGGGTGGGGGGTGTCCGCAGCCTCAGTGTCAGCTCTGCCCTCTGGTTGCCTGTGGGTAGTAGCACCCGGCCTGGGGATGCCTGGCCACGGCCATCCTTGATCTCGATGGTGAATGTGGTCTTCATACTGCCCCCTGGCTCAGTAGTGCCGACAGCCACAGGCAGCGGGGCACTGGGTTCCTCTGAGCAGGCGAAGGGCTCCCCGCTCTGTTTTCAAGGGACCTGGCAGCCAAGCCCCGCCCTCTGGGGCCCTCCTCTTGGGGGCAGCTCTGAAGCTGGGCCAGGGGCTGAGTTATTCCTCTTTGCTCCTTGTTGAACTTGGAGGAGGTGTCACTGGGCCCCCGGGAGGAGGAGCTCCTGGAAGAGGAGGCAGGGGTGGTGCTGATGAAGGAGGGGCCCAGAAGTCTTGTGGGTGTCAGGGAACCAAGGGTTGCTCGGGTTGGGCCATCCTGAACCCTGGCAGCCATAGGAGAATCTGATGCGAACTTGCGGACACGATCCCACACCGAGCCAGCCCAATGGAACGGGGAAGGGCTGCTGCCAAGAGGGGTGGACTCTTGATTCTGGGCTGGCTGTCGGGGGCTGAGCACAGACAGAGAACGCTGACGGGGTTGGGGTCCAGCCAGGTCTGTTCTGTTTTTGTTGGAGGGGCCTCTGGTGGGGGACTGGGCAGCAAGAGGCTCTGTGGAGCCAGGCAGTAGCTTGTTAGCCACCTGACCTTCCATGATGGGTTGGGTCAGGGACTCTGGGAGATTAGGAGTCCTGGGGGTGCTGGAAGGTGGTTCAGGGTTGCCTGGAGCCTCAGCAGCAGCACACAGAACTCCAGATGGTTCCAGTGGAGGTTCAGGAGAAGCAGTGGTGGGTGAATTGTCAGGTGAGGCAGTTGAGCTAGGTGTGTTCCCAGGTGGGGCCCTTAGCAAGAGTGTCACCATAGTCACATCCTGGCTGGTAACCTTGGGGGTTGGGGTTGGCTCTGAAACTTCTGCTTGCTGTTCTTCTTCCTTGTGCTCTGGCACCTCACGTGGTTCCAGCCTGTGTGCTGCCTGTCTCTTGCTGTCTACTCTGGAGCTACCGTTGGGACGCCCACTGCACAACCTTCCAGCTACAGTGGCAGCCTCAATCTCCTGAGCCCGTACACGGCAGATGGCGGCTTGGATCAGCTTGCGCTCCTCATACTCACCGGCGCTTCTCAGCAGCGTGGTTAGCTCCTCCACATCATTCATGGACTCCAGCTGCCCTGCCAGCTGTGCTAGCGCAGCCCGCTGTTCAGCTTCCCGATGCTGAGAGTGCAGCCAGTTTTCCTTGTTGTCCTGTTGCTCAGCACCGAAGCGCTTTGATGCCAGGGCTTCCTCCTTGCGCTCCAGCTCCTGCCACTGCAGCTCCCGGATGGCTGAACGGATGCGCCGCCGCTCTGCCAGATCTGCTGTGACCTCTACCAGTTTCCGGAGGGCTCCCTCATCCAGCCCAGCTAAGGCTTCGTCTGCCATCATGCTGGCCCCTAGCTCCGTCGTGACCTTCGTGGTGATATCCCCAGTGCCTGTGGCACCTGAAATCAGCTCAGGGAATTCTCTCAGTCCAGCGCGTCCGTCCGGCCTGGGCTCGGGTTAGCTCACTTCGGATACGACAGAAAGTCTGGCCGGAGGAGCAGAGCCCTGGGTTTCCAGGACCCCTCAGCAACTGTCCCCTGCACTCTGCTAGTGCCGCGAGTCCAGCCAATTTGGTTATTTCTTGAATGAGGTCTCATTAATATATTAGAACTGTTATCTAAGAACATTTCCATTTCTATAATATACAATATTTTATAAATTTAAAGAAATTGTAGATCAAATCATTTCCTTTATAAAGAAAAAGCAAAAGGAAAAGCAGAACCCTAGTAAATTCAGAGTTAAGATGTTGAAAGATCTAAGAAAGATCTGGCTGATGGAAAGCATGCACTATATTCTAGATCTTTAAATATTTTGGCCACTATCAAGTATTTGTTAATATACCAAACCTATAGAAAAGAATAGAAGTCACCAAAAATGCTAAATAAAATAATTTCATCCTTTTATGTCTTTATATTTTATTCTTTACATTTGTTGTTGCTATTGTGCCTGCAAAAGAAAGTTTTGTGTGGTTTTATTTTTCAGCAGAAAAATAATTGCTTCAAGGTGTGACTAGGAGAGCTCACAGGGCTGAAGATTGTAGAGGTCTACTTACAGTAACAAAGAATGTGGCAGACCTGGAAGGACATGGTAGCAGGAACAGTTTTTAAGAATCCAAGACTCTTTCCTGGCTGGAATTGAGTCCGAGCATGTCTTTGATGTGTGATTACACTGAGCCTATTATGCTGTGTCCTGAGAAAATGTGGCCAACTGAATTGATTACACTTGGGCTAAACGCTCACTCCTGTGTATCAGCAGCACGAGCACTGGGTTTCTGCGAGTAAACTTGGGAATGTCATAGGATGCCATGGTTCCACAGCCAGAGGATGCACTAGGGCTTCCATGTGTATCCACCTAATGCAGCTCATAAGCAAGAGTGTATTATGCCAGAAAACTCCTTTCTTCTACATCCAGTATAATCAGCTCTTTCTATTTAATTTATCCAATATTTTAAAGTTGTGGATTATCAGGTATACAGACTAAGAATATTTTAAGTTTTTTTGTTTAAGGCTTTGTCTCTGGTAGCATTTTCATTACTCCCCATGAAGGGCCTGTAGTGCTCATCACTGCCCGTGAATGGTCAGAGGAAAAAAGACAAGGAGAATTCAAATGTAAAATAATATTTCTTTCTAGATTTTATGTGCAACCTGTGCTGCTCACGGTGAATAGAAATGTGTAATAGCTGTGATTTGTTGCTTACCTACTGCTTCCAAGTATTGGATTTAAAGTAACACATAGGCATGAAATGTTTGGGATCAGAATTTGGGTTCATGGAAGTAATCAATGTGTAGTGGAGCATGGTGTTTGTGGTACTGTGGGGTATGGAGTGATTCCATGGGTGCAGGTTCTGAGTGAGATACTTGCTAACTATGTGACTTTGCTCAAGTTACTTACTGTCTCTTTGTTTTCCTCATCCAAAAAGAGTGGATATAATAAGATCCATTTCATAGGAGTGACTAGGAAAATTAAGAGACATAATGTATAACAAGACGTTTTTAACACGAGACCTGGTATTTAGTAAGTTAATAATATTATCTATAATTACTTGCATTAACTGTTGTTGACTGTAGTCCCCTTCCTTTTTGTCTTTTTAAGAGCCTTTTTCTTGAGGGAAAAAGTACTACCAAATAGAGGAAATAGGAAGATAGCTAAATAACTAGACCTTAAAGCAATATGATGCTGTAAACCCAGTTGTCTTAGTCACTTTTTACATGTTGCTGGGATAGGACAAATACCTGACACTCAAAGTGAAAGAAGGAAAGGTCTATTTTAGCTCACAGCTAAATTTGTGGAGGTTTCAGTTCATACTCTGCTGGCTCCAAGGCAAAAGACAGCAGCTCCTGGCAGCAGAAAACAATGGAGGAGCAGAGGAGGAGCAGCAGCTGCTGTGTCCTTCAAGCCTCTCCCTTCTATGCTGACTGCGAAGATGGCACCCCACTGCGAAGATTGTGGCTCCTCCAAAGTTGTGCAGCTGCGAAGATCAAGCGCCTCTGAAGACTGAGACTTGTCCAAGGAAGTGGGCAGGGTGGCCAGGCAATTTCTTCAACTCCTTCATATTCACATTTTGTGCTGAGTCACTCTGGGACTGCCCATATCCCTAGGGTGGAACCAATTGAACCCCAGGGCAGGCCCAATAGTGCTCTAGGGTGGGACCAATCGCACCCCAGGTTGGGCCCTGCCCACCTTCAGGGCAGGGGTGGTGGACAGGAGGGTCATGCCCAGAACTGCCAGTGCTGATTCAGCCAAATTGACACAATGTATCAACTACCACACCAGTGAAATAAAAACAAATTGAGGACTATTAGTCCAGAAATACAAATCTCTATGTCCTGTTGTGTTTGCACTGTGAGGGTTTTTCATATTCTTATAACAATTTTGAAGTTATTATTAAAATAATTTATAAGACATTGTTATTTCCATTATTCTCTGTTCCAATGTAGTATGAATACACAGAAGGATATGTACAACACACAGATAGTTACAAAGCATAGTCAGAGAAACAGCCAGGAGTCTATCCCCTCCTGACACACACCTGTGTCAGCTGTGCTTCCCTCCCCTCCTGGAGAGGCTGAATTTTGTGTTTATTATTCATCCCCCTGCCCTGTCTTTTTTCCTTAAGCATTCTTTTCAGAAAATTATCTGTACTTTTTTTACAGCCAGGCTTATCTAGTGTTGATATTTTGTTCCATTTGTTTCTACTCTCTCTCCACATAGGTATGTGTATGTGCATACATATTCTGAGAGGATGAATATATGTAGAAATGAATATATAGACTATGAATATAGAGAATAAAGAAGTATAGACAAAGAAAATATGAATATGTGTTTTATTTACTTTTTCTGTGTGCAGGGAATCCAACTCCAGACCTCATACTTTCCAGACAGTTAATTTTTACATGTTGCTGGGATAGGACAAATACCTGACGCTCAAAGTGAAGGAAGGAAAGGTCTATTTTATTTTATTTTTTATTATTTTTTTCAAAGTTTTATTGATAAACAGCAATGAGACAGTTTCAAATCAAATCGGAAGTACAGTTTCAACAAATAATACACTGCATATATTCTTTTTAGTGGTTAATTGCTGTACAAGATGCGGACTTGCGATCCTATTTACAAACACCATTAGAACAAATCATTCTATTCATTAAGAGAATACAACTATATATCTATCCCAACC